GCGGCTGGAGTAGGGCTCCAGGACGTGGCGGAGCTCCGGGGGCACGCCGAGGGGCAGCAGCTCGGCTTTGAGCACGGTGCCCCGGTGGGCCTCGGAGGGCGACGCCCGGAGGTTCTCCGACCGGCTCATCTTGATCAGCAGGTCAATGGTCTTGTTCTCGCCATCCAGAGGGCAGTTTGGCCTCCCGTCCCCCTCCCCGGCTTTGCTGGCTGCCAAGCACCTGCTGACGGCCCCTTGCTGTCTGCACGGGAGCCTCTCGTCTCCGAGGCTGGCCTTGCAGGGCTCTTTCTTGGCCTGCTCCAGGCTCTCTGGGGGCCTTTTCACCGAGAGGTCCAGGGGGCCTTCGTGGGGCTTGGTGGCTTTCTCCAGCGCCTGGTGGATGTGATAGAGCTCCCTTCGGATTTTGACCAGCTGTTCTCTCAGCTGCTTCTGCCCAGGGGTGTCCTCCTTTGCCAAGTCAGAGAGTTTCTTCTCCACCTCCTGGTACTCCTCCAAGGCTTTGGACAGGTCCCCGATGAGCACCGTGGTGGCCGCTGCATCTCTTGTGCTGGGGAGAGCCCCGGGCACGCCGTCCAGCTTGCACAGGGAAGGGTCAGCGGCAGCGATCACGGGGGACAGAACGTCGGGACCACGGGTCTTCTCCTGGTCGTCAGGCGCGCAAGCGTGAACGCCCGTGTGCCAGTGGTGCAGGGACCTGGGGAGCTGGGCGGGGGCGGCTCTCCAGCCACTGGCGGGAAAAGGGAAGGAGACAAAAGCAGAAATCGTCACTGGACAGAGAAGCCATTTACCACTGACTAGCTGCTTGGCCCTGGGCATGTCACTTCGGCCAGCCTTTCCTAAAGCGCCTGCTAGCTCTGGGGCCCGTCCCCTGGGGCCCGCCCTAGGCCCTGGGCTGGGTTCGGAGCGGGGCCCAGCACCTCGACACTAGCGGAAGTCAGTGGGCGTTTCACGCCCACGCCCTGAACCAACGTCTGTCTGCTCAGACCTCAGGAAGGGAGGGAAGACCCGGGGGCGGGGGAGGACCCGGGGGGAGGGGTGTCTGGTGGGAG